TGCCCCATGTGTCATTACGTGGCATACACATTGTTGCAGCAACAGCAGCATTGCCGGCTGTGTCTTACACTTCCGTCATGGCAGCTGCAGACACGCCCACCCTCTCACCAGTGCCACCTCCTGCCTCTCTCTTTGGGCAACCTTTTTGGGGTCAGTTCAGTTTGGTCTTCGCACGCAGCTCCTTGGCTGATGTTGAGTTCTTGTCTTGTCATTGTTTGTTTAATTTTGTATGCCGGATATCCCGGCGTGTTTTCCCATTGTCCTGCTGTCAACGAAATGCTAACAGCAACAACAATAACTATAAGAGTGGGCGTGGCCACAGCAATAGTCACAGCCACAGCCACAGCCTCCTCTTCTTGCCCACTCCGCCAGCGTACCTACGCGTATCTCTCTTTCATCAATGTTTATGCCGCTGACAACAAAAGAAATTAAATTGCCAACACTGAAATTCAATTGTATCTCGCTGCCACTCTCTCTCTTTCTTCCTTTTGCTACACTCAAAATTCTTGAAGCTGCCGGCAGACGCCGGTCGGCTCTGGGGCGTGGCATGACGACATCTTGAATGGTTATTGCCGCTGACTTATTGGGGCATGGCATTGATTTTTTCCCTTTGTTGCCCGCCTTTGTGGGGCACAGTTGTAGGAAGTAAACATTTTCGGTGCTTTCAATTTATTAAAAGGCGCGTCAGGCAGCCATAAAAAGGTCAATGATTATTATGTTTTCCATGCGAAATACCAGGAGTGCTCCCACTCCCAGCCACCTAGCCACCCAGCAGACAGTGGCCAAAAATAGAGACAGCTCCATGCTACATGGAGTACGGAGTACGGAGCCATCATCCACGGGACATGGCAATTTGTTTGGATTGGCATTGAGGCGGTTCTGAAGTGGCTGCCTCGCCTCGTCTCGCCTCGTCTCGCCTCGCATCGTCTCGATTTTGATGGCATTTTTGTGGTGCTTCGTTCAGGTTCAAAGCGACCCCGTGCCCGTTGCCATAGACTGCACTGATTGGCCCTAATAGTTAGCATCGAGAAGCAGAAATTTAAACTTCTGTCCGGCTCTGTTGGGTCTTGGTCTGCTGGCAGTTTAATTCACATTCCGAATTGGTTGCCATTTGCCTCTCGTTCGCCTTTCCTGCCATAAATCAACATTTAACACAGCCTGAATATCCGCTCTTGTTTGCCCACCATTTTCCATTTCCATTTTTCCATTTTGGCATTTTCCTTTTTGCTCCATGTTTCGCCAAAAGCCTACTTTGTAGCGCTTAAACTGCAATTAAAAACATTAAATGTGCGCATAATTAAAAACGTTGCCCTCTTTATGACACATTAACATATTTGCATATAGTATTTTTAAAACTATAACCGCCGCCATCATATCCCCTTCTTATCCGATCTCCTTTTTGATGTATTTAATAATGCCCGACAATAGCAGGCGATTAACCGGGGAGCCCGCGCCTCTGCGCCCCTGGAACGGCAGCAAGCATTTGCTCTTTTGGGGCCCATGTCCAAAAGGCCAACGGCCAACATGATGACCATGTTACATTTGCATTCCAAAGGCTACGGCTGCGGCCCCCCTCCCAGAGTTTCGTTGTCCAACTGCCATCTAATTCGGATTTGGCATTGTGCGTTGTTGCAGCAGGCGGTTGGGGCTGGGGCTGGGGCTGGGTTTAGATACGGGTATGATATCCGAGAGATGCATTCATTAGACGCATTCGCTTTCGCATTCGGTGCATTCGATTACAGCATGCGTATAATTGTCCAACCCCAATCAAAGCGCAATCGTGCCCCAGCCAGCGGCCAAATCGATTAACATGCCAAGGCATTGTCTGAGATACATTCGCACGGGGACGCTTCGTCGTTACACATTATGGCCATTATCCCTGCCGCAAATGCCTGACCCATTGGCCTGGCAGGCAACTAATCATCCCAGGGTTATACTTGGGGCACATTCTTGTACGCGTATCCATAATCATTGATTGGAAAAAGCGTCGAAAGGTTTCATTTACAGGGCAATGTTTACGAGTTTGTGCATTAAGCGAAAAAACCTAAACCCAACCGTTTTTTCCTTCCAAAATTGTTTGATTTTTAATCAAATTTCAATTAAACTTGCCATAAAAGTTTTGATTTATTTCAAAATGGATCTAGATAAAGCAGTCTATATCTATTTCTGGTTCTTAAAACGTTTGTTTTCCCAGTGTAGTCGTGGCGGGGCACAAATTAAATTGCATTAGAAATGTCTTTAATTGACACCAAGGTAACGCATAAATTTCAATTGGGGCTCCTCCATGTGTGACAAAGATACAGAAGCACCCAGAGAAAGAGAGAGAAAGATAGCTGGATGGAAAGAGTGGGACTGCCTACGAGAAGCCGGAAATTGTGAGTGTTCTATGGAGGGGGGTGACACGGGGGAAGTGCAGATACGGCCGCACTCGGCATGTGCGAGAGAATTATTATCTTGTACTTGGCCATGTCAAAGAAAATTTGCATTTTTCGGTCTGACAAAGGGCGGCAAACAGCAGCCGGGGCAACCAAGGCATCGGAGAGGCAGGAGAGAGGTGTGGCTGGCAGTAGCCGACATGGCTCTCTGCGGTGCAATGTCAACGTGTTCGTCGTGCTCGGCGCTACCAATACCAAATTGTCTGCCACAATAGACTGACAAGGTGCTAGATTGCACGACCGTCCTTATGGGCATGGGTGTCCTTCTGGAGGCTCTGTGTGTTCTAAAATAGAGCAACAATGTGCATTGACAATGAGATGAGAGCTGCCAGCAAATGTGACACAGATACAAACTTTTAAATGCACAGGGAAAAGCAATTGCAGGCCAATGAGTGAGTGTGGCATTTAGGCTGTAACCAGGTCTATGCAGAGTGTAATAATTTCTATTATATCTGTCTAATTAATACATATTATACCACGTAATCCCAATACACTCCTTTCTCGGGAAACTCATTAGTTGAGCGCTCTAAGCGCTAGTCCCTGAGGATAATTTAGCGTTTAGCCCAGGAATATGGCCTTGAATCAACCGTAACGCAGAATTTCATTCATTTATAGCTCTCAGGCGCAACAACATAACAACATGCCACACCCATTCCATTCCATTCCATTCCACTCCCGTGTTACCTCAGCCGCCAATCCTCACATATAATTGTGCGGTTTCTCAGCAATTTTTATGTGTTTTAATTTTCATTGGAGCACTAAAAACATGTCAGCGTCGTCAATGTCAGTCAGACCCCATCTGGTCTCCCTCTTCAAGGGGGAAGTAAGCAATCCGGAGCAACACGGAGAGGTGGGGAGCACCAACAAGAGTCTGAAGAGGCTAATAAACACTTATATAAAATTCTCGAATCGCACGTGTTGCGTTTGTCAAGGGGTTGCTGCTGTGGCTGCCACGACATGGAGACATACAATACAATAAAACTGCTAAGTGCATGGGCATGTTGTGCCATATAGCTCCATCTAGCTTCTGTACGTATTAATCGAGGTGTGCTGCATGCTGCAGGCCATAAAATCCAAGTGGAGAAGTGTGTGGAGGATCAGGGAAAAGGGCAGTGGCAGTGGCAGTGGCATCGATAAGCTGCCAGAAACAGTGCAACGCGTGTGCCACATAAAAATGGCATTTTGACATGGCCACCGAGTGGTCCCGTAAAGAGGGTGAGGGCCAGCGGAGCTAATGAGCATTATGAATGCTTTCCCTGATGTCATTGCACTTGAGTTGATCTACTTACTCGGTACTGGGAGGGCTACAGGGTATATTGTATTCGTTTATTGTAGGTGACGTACATAAAACTGAGGCTAGCCTTCAGCAGTCGAGGATATATGACTATGAGAGTTTAGTTTGATAGTTTTTACTATCAACTACTACAGTCGACTATATCGTCTATATCCTGTGCCTCATGCAGTCCACTTAATGGACAGCGGCCTTCAGACCTCACCCCCTGCTCCTGCCCAGCCGGGAATCCTTACAAAACGCTGCAATGAAAGGCAAGAAAATGGTCTGTGTGTTGCTTGAACGCCTGCCAATCCAGGGGTAGCAAAAAGTAATTGAAACTTAAATAAACAGAGTGCTGGAGCAGCGACCGCAGGGCCGAGTGCAAACAGTTGCAAAAAACCGAAACAGAAACAGTAACGGAACGGGTTAAGTGGCCGCATCCTCAACTCCGGCTTCACAGCCGGCCGGGAGTTGCATGCAGCATGCAGCATGAATGAGGCCACATACACACGGAGCAGAGCGGAGCGGAGCGGAGCGGAGATCGACATGCTCATTCAGGCTCAAGTGCCTGCCACTTGTGCACAGCCTCATTAGCACAAACAAAAAATTTGCACTCACAAAGAGCCCGTTTTGTTCTTGTCATTATTATTATGCTCGTTTTTTTTTGTGCTTGGATTTCTGCTACTCCTTTTTTCTGCTACTGTTTTTGATGATTTGATATTGTTTATCATATTTGCTTTGGCTTTGTATAGGATAGGGATAGGGCTAGGGCTGCACTTCCTGTCGACAGCGGCAGGCTGGCAACATTGTCCATAGGGCGGGCGGGCGGTCGTTGGCAGCATGTTGCCAGGCTTCCCGAACATGTTGCTTCCAGAACATTTTCCAGCGCGCTAATTTTGGAAATGCTCGTTCTCGTTCCCGGTCCCGTTCTCGTGTCTTGTTTTCGGGGTGGGTGTGTTCTTGCGGCTGTCCTCCGCTGTCGAGCCTTGATGAGTTTTCATTCGTTTGTCAACTTGTCGTAGGCACGGATTGTTCTCTGTTGTAGGGTCCCGTCTTTGTCTCTGTCTCTTCTCTCCGGTTCGGTTCGGTTCGTTTCGGTCCGTGTTTAGACGGCTTCGGGATTGCTGCCGGGGTCTTGTTTACACGCCAAATAACGCGTCTTTGCGGTAGCGTTCGCGACCGTGACAGCTGTGGATCATTTTGAGATTTGAGATTTGAGAGGGCCATGCATTTTGAGAGCTGTTTAATTATACAACAACTAAACATTGTTTATTATTCGTTCCGCCTTGCAGCTCACATCCGGCAACAGCAGCTGGACCCACACACACAGTACTATCCAGCCATTTATGAGAGTGCGAACTGAAAGAAATTACTCTAGCCAAATGGATTTCGTCTAAACGAATCGCAAAAAAATAAAGCAAGACCGATAATTAAAAGGCGGAAATCGAAATGAATAAACAATCGATTGATTGTCGGCAAAATGTGCAAATCCGTGGAGTGCAAATCAAAAGCAAACTCGAGTGAAAGTGAAAAATTGAGGCCCCAAGAAAATTATTAATTACCGCAGTGCTTGTTAGCGGAACATAGCCCAAGAGGCAGACATTTTGTTTATGAGCCAATTTGCCAGCCCCACCCAAGCCCCGTCAAACTGAAGCGAGGAGAGACATCTACAATTTGCATATTCCACAGCATCCCACTCCCAGTCGAACCCCACAACCACTACCCCTTATATCCGTACATACACACGTACAGAACAGACAGCGCGGCGTGTGAAGCTGAAGTGTTTATTAAATAGTCTTCCCGCAAATGTTGGGCGTCTTCTGAGCGAAAGACAGTGCCTGCCCCCTCCACCGCCAGCTCACGAGTTACTCCCCATCATGTTGGAGCTGCAACTGCGCAAAGATTTGTCAGCGGACTCGGCCGATATCCACAAAATGAGACACCAGAAGGCATTGGATACGGCCCATAGACAGCACCGCCGGAGACGCGAGCCAAACTACGGGGCCTTCCAGACGCGTCTCTGCCTTGTGCTGCTCGCCGTCCTGCTGTTGAGCATGGGTAAGTCGAAACGCTGTTTAGTCTTAAGTTTAAAATAGTGTTTACTCAGACACATCAAAGTCGAATATTGGAAAGCCATCTTCAGTGAGAATAACATTGTTTCTTGCTACAAGGCCAATATATTTTTCCAGCCATCAAAGTTTTTTAAATATTTTCCGCTCATAGCTGAAACAAATTTCAAATCATCAAGCACGATCTTAGACCCTTGACTGCCGACACACATTTTAAGAGTTTCATTTGTACAATTTAATGAAGTATATTTGTCTGGCTTCCTACCCCCACTCCGGACCTGTCATCCCTTTTCAAGTAGTATCTGGGCATCTGGGAGCATGGGAGGCAGGGACAATGTCAACCACAATCACATTGCCTGGCCCTATTCCACCAACACTCGAGCCCTTAACTCAATTGACTGCTCCACTTTTTGCCAAAGTCCGCTGGCAGAGTCAAAGCCACCATCACTACTGTGGCTGCTCAATTAAATGCCTGGAGTGTGTCCGCCAGATTCCCAGCCAGCGGAAAACTTTCAGCAGCTCGAAACTCCAGCGCCAACTCCAATAAAAATCGAATAGCAGCCGGCCCGGAGGGGTGTGAGTGATACTCACACACCCTTTGAGATAGATACAGACAATCGATACTTGAAATACTTGGTGGGGGCGGCACAGAAAATGACAGTCGAAACAACACTTTGGCATAATAAAATACAAATAAAAGGGGCACAAGAGCAGCCACACAGATCCGACGCCAATTGATTGACGAAGTGGCAAAGATCTACTTGAGAGCGATGGCGGAACGGAGTGGCGAGAGGAGCAATAAAAAGGATTGACAGCCCGAGGCGGTCGGTCGGCGGTATCTAAGCGGTGGAGAGGTGTCAGGCGCACGGACAGACAGGGGACAGCCACTCGAATGCCTGTCAATGACAATCAGCAACGGAATCAGATTCCGTACACTCACTTCTAAATGCCTGTCGCCCGATGGTGACAAGAGGAGCCGTAGCCGGGAGTCGCATTCGAGGCTGGAGCTGTAGCCGGAGCGCTAATGCTGATGCTGAACGCTTGTAAAAAGTTTTTAATGACGCTCCCTCCTGCCGTTTCGTTGCCCGTTCTGATTCGAACAGAACCATTCCATTCCATTCCGTATCCACATTTGCCAAAGCAAATCTGTGTCAGGCTGTTGCTTCATTACTCCAGCTCCAGTGTCGACGTGGCCGCTAATGAACAGCTTAAGCAGCAACCCGTCCAAATGTGCATCGCATTTCAATGGGAGCCGAGCCCCAGCCCCAGCCCCGGCCCCAGCCCGGCCATTGAAGTGCATTTTTCGGCTATCGCGGAGCTGGGGAATTGAATGGGGGAGAGATTTGTGTGCCGTGATCCGTGACTTGTTCGGAAATGTTGTTGCGTTGGGTCTTTGGCACTCAGGGTATTGTGAAGATTTGCAGAGCGCCCCAGTGCACTGGGGTGTCGAGGAGGAGGGGAGTGTATCGCCACTGCTTTATTAGATGGAGGTGCGGGCCCGGGCTCCTCTAATGGATGGGGGTTAATGGGTTAGGGTTAGGGTTAGCAGCAAAGTGGTGTATTTGTAAAAGTGAATTAGAACTTCAAATGGGCATCAATTGTGGTGATGTATGGCTGAGTGGGGCAATAACTATTCCCCAAGGAACTCTCTAGAGTAGGCCCATAAATCACGATCCAAAGAGTGATTCGGATTAGTTATAGATTTCATTTGATTCGATTATAGAGTTTATTAGTTCACTGACTGCATAACAACTTTTATTCGTCAATTACGAACTGCACTGAATCTGCATAGTCCCTGGCCCTGGCCATATTTCCATAAAATCCGGTGGACAATGCCGCGATCTATTTATAATCAATTTCGCCATATAGGGAAATGCGATTCAACCATAATTTTGAAATGCATTCGAATACATGAACTAAAAACGCGTTTTGCTCTGCCCAAATCAATTTCATGGATTCCCCCACCCAGAATGAGTGGAATATAAATGGCAGTACGGACAGGTTCCAGCGAGAGCGACGACTGGTAGATACCCACTAATTAGATTTATTTATACCATCAATATTCCCTACTGCCATTGTTTCAACAGCTGCCTGTGGAATTTTGTGAATAATTCAATTGGCAAATCCATCGATTTCCCTGCTAAAACATGTTTTTAGAACATGAATAAGTACATATGTATATCCTTATCCTCAGCGATAAAATGGGTACTAAACAGCGATACAAGTTTCTCGTTTTATCATTGAAATATTAATTGAAAAATAATATTGACAAGCGGCAAACAAATTACAAATAAAATATGTAAATTTTCTTGCGGTTCTCCGCTGTGTAAATTCGGCCTGTGGCACATGCAGTGGCATTTCAAAACCAATGCGGCACGGGCCGGTGGGCAGGCGATGCAACATTTTTCGATTGCCAAACAAATTATGCCAGTCATGCAAAAATTGCATAAAGGTAAATAGTTCGAAGCTAGTGACAGGGGGGGAGCGGCGCAAATAGTCGTACAGATGGTGCTCTGGTTTGGGTCTTGGGGCAAGCTTAGCCACCGCGTTTTGTGTTTGTATATTATTAATGCAATTTGTAATTATTTGTTGCCTGCACACAGATACAGCACACGCGTACACCCAGATCTGTATCTCTGTTTGTTTGTTTTCTCGAATTTGGGTTTGTTTATTTGTTTGCCTTTGCCTTTGCCATAAAACGCAATTATCGCGCACAAAGAACAAAGCATAGTGCAAGCGAGACGCAGCCAGGGGTCACAGTCTCCCCTCCGCCACACTACGTACTGCAACCGGAATCTGCCCCCACTTCGACTGCTTCACTACCAGAGTCCCCACTTGGGGAGTTTCGGAAAAGCTGCAAAAGTTGTCGCCGGCATCAGAGCCGGCATCATTTTCGTAATTCGCATTTCGCATTTTCGCATTTGCGTTCCCATAATTAACTTATTTTGTACATTAGCAACAGATTTTGTTTATTAACGCATGTGCGCTTGCTCTCTCAGTAATGCGATCCCGCCCCATTCTGCGCCATCCAGGCCCAACCCAGGAGCGGCTTTAATGTGTGCGGGGCAAGGGACAATGGGGCGCATACTTATCTTTTGGCATTGCGAAGCGAGTTTATTTGTTTTGTGCCTGTGGTTGCCTGACTGGGTGGCTGGTTGGTGGCTTGGGTGGTGTTTTGTGCGGCTGCTGTCGCATAATTTATTTATCATTAGCAAAATTTGGCAAGCATTGGTATGCTCCTCTTCCCGCCGACTGCCACAAGAAGTTACCGCCGCTGCTGAAAGTGTCTGTGTATTTGGCTAAATAGTTGAAATAATTAGGCTCATTAGAACTTTTGTAGGTTTCTGGCCGGGCTACAGCTCGAGTGCTCCCATTGAGTGTTGCCTTGATTGACAAGTGCAAATTGGTATTAATGCCAGAGTACTTGGAGCTGGTAAAGTATTCCGCAAGAAGCGGAGGGAGAACAAAGGAGATATTAAGTCTTTAAATTGATGTAATCTGGTAATCATCGGAAAAGTTTGCCAGTTCAGAGTCGGAGCCATTTTCTGCCATACGAAGTATGGATAATTCTAATTCTCTATAATCTAAAATAGTTTATTGGCATACAATTAAGCTTCTAGTGGAAAAATTATATTTTAATTAAAAACTAGTCTCGTACAAATGCATAATTAGGAAAAACTGATTAATCCGAGTGTTATTTTTTGCCCGTTTCCAATCAATTGGAGCGTCAAGCTACTCTGCCATATTTTTTGCGAATTCAACCAAATATTTGGCGGCTGGTAACGAAATTTTCTGATATTTAAACTCCATCTGGCAATGGTTCACGTTTAATTAAGCAACGTTGCCAAAAAATATCTAGGACAAATCACAGCGACAAAATCGCAACCATCGGACGAAAAATTTCGTTGCTTTTGTTTTAGTTTTGTTTGTTGTTTGTTTTGTTGTTTTTTCGTGTTGGTTTTTGTTGACTGCCAGGACCAGGACCCCTGCCACTCCTCCAAATAACAGGAACTTGTTGTTTTGCAGAGTCCGAGTGGAAACTGTGTGCGAAGTGCAACAGCCGCAACAAAAACGACATAAACTTTTAACAATTGCAAAACCAAATAAACAAAACGGAGCGGAGGGCCGAACAAAAAGAAAACACTGAAAACGGCTGCGGGCTATAAATCTGCAATGACTGTGGGGTTCCTGGTGTACGCTATGGGGGTAGGTGGAGCAACAGCAAAAGCAGCAGCAAGGGCGTTTGCATAAACCCATTTACACATACAAAGGCAAACAGCCGCACACAGATACAGATACACTTGCAGATACAGCCACACACACGTGGTGGGATGTGCAGACAGAGCAGAGCGCCTGCTGCGTAAATAACTAATAAGGCTCGAGGATAAATTTCAAGTGCAATTTGGTGAGTATCGTAACCAAATACAATGCTACGAGCACAACATGCAGCAAACAATAAGGAATCATGTTGCGAACGAAGTCCTGGATACCCTTTCCAAAAGAATATTGCTTTGATATCGGTAGATACTCTCCTTCGGTCCAACTGAGGAGAGAGTATATAAACTGAGGTCTATCGAATTTTAAAGGAATATATGTACATGAAAATCACAACACTCTGTGCCAGGGTATACAGTCGCCCGATGAACTGGGAAACAGGATCAGGACAGAGACAGAGGAAAAACTAGCACAAAAGTTAAGCGTGGCAAATATACGAGTATCTCTGCGTTTTGTGTGCGGCACGTTTCTATGACTTAATTAAAATTATGAATGTTTTTGCCGCTGCTGCAACATGCCAGAGATGTGTGGCATGACCAAAAACCAGCCAGGCCGGGCTAGGGGAGCGGGCGAACGGGCGACAGTCAGGATGTCCATGGCAAATGCGCTTTTTGCCATCGAGAAGAACAAACAAACATATAGTAGCATCAATTTATGCATAAATCACATGGCACAAAAACCATGCCAAATTGTAAACATAAAACGAAATGGATA